TCTACACCCTCTCCCCATGCCAGCTGGTCTTCTACCTTGGCAGTACGGAGGTCAGCTCTGCAGCCTGCCTGCTGCTGCGATCCTAGTGCCGGGAGCCTGCTCCAGCTGGGATCACTGGACCTGCAATCCTGTGTGGTGGGGCAGCACTGAGCACCCTGGCTTCCTGCCAATGCTGCTGTGCCCAGTCCTGCTGGGGTGGGGGGAGCTGACGTCACTGGGCCCAATCCTACACTGACTCATTTTTGCACCACCACCCCGGCTCTGCGTCTGGGACAGGGGCCCCTGCCCCCACTTGTCCCCAGTTACAGCCCTGATGATGTCACTTGGTCCACAAGTTGAGAACCACTGGCCTATAGTGCTTCTGGTAGTCAAATTTAACAAAGTTTTCTTGTTCTAAGTAAGGATACAGTGTTTGTAGCTCATATATTGTAAAGCATTTAAGGGGTTTGTGGTATGTTGCATGCTTCCATTGCAGATATGCTAGTCTAATATATCTCATGCTGAAAGGCTTTTACCGTACTACTTGATTTGACATGAAACGACCCTTTAGAAGCAGCTTTAAACCCTTGCCTTTTAGAAGTGATTTTGTTTTTTCCCTAGCATGTCTCATGTCTTGCATCTTAATCTATCTCATGAAGGTGGTGTTAGCAGCAGGACTGCTTTAACGTTTACTCTTGCTTACAGATTCGATCTCTGGAATGGTAGAATATTAACTGTTTTCAGTTTATATAAGCAAAAGTGAAGATGTCGAAAGCCAAATGTAAAAAAAGAATGAGGATTTTAATTTTTATAGAGAGCTTTTCATATGGAAGGATCTTGAAGTGCTTTGCAAATGTAGTTGCTGGATCAACTTATGAAAAATGGGCTTGGGTAGAGGAGGGAACAGCAACTGTTTAACAGCCTGAAACGGGAAGAGAAGGAAAATTTATTCACTCACCTGTAATTTTTAAAGTAGGATCAAAGAACCCAGCTTGACCTTTGGAGCCAGGGATGGAATTTGTAGGAGAGAAAAAAACCCTCTTAATTTAGATACTGAGGAAACTTGACATGGAATCTGAGACACAAACATAGAACTTGCAGAGTAGAACCAAAGTTTAGTCTCAATTTTCAGAGTAGAATCTCAGTTTCATCTCTTAGCCATCCACCGTATGCAGTCTTGTCTTTTTGTTCTGAGTTTGTACAGCACTTAGCACAATGGGGTCCTGATCCATGTCTAGGGCTCGTAGGTACTATAATAGTACAAATTAATAATAATATTGGGTAGATACCCATATTGCAAACAAATAAAAGCCACCACCTTTACGGCCGCTTTTCAATCTCCCCCCTCGCAGGGTCCCAATGCCCAGGCTGCAACCTGAGACCGAATGTCTACACTGCAGTTAAACAACCCCAGATAGTCCAAGCCCCGTGAATCCAAGTCAGCTGACACATGCCAGCGTAGTGTAGACATACCTGCAGTGTAGACATACCTTAAGACACGAGGAGGTGGAGTGGCTGACTTGTGCATTTTTATCAGACTGCAGCCTGTTGTGATGGGCAATTGTTTCTCATTCCCACAAGCGCTCACTTGTGAAGTTCCACATGGCTCAATCCTGCATCCAAAATGGTGGGCCAGTTTGAGAAAGCTGCTAGTTTTGTGGATAAAAGCGCCTTTGTTGTCACTGCAACAACTTCCACAAGCCCTAATATTCACTGGAAGAAGCCCTAATATTCCTGGAAGAATTCCTTGTGTTAAGCTCTTGACTAGAACATACTGCTTTAATTTCTAGGAGTCCCCTCATCCCTCCCCCTATTAGTGATTCCACAAAATGACAGTGATCCTTTCAGGAGTTTAATATTTTTTCATTTGGGATCTACATGGCTTTAACCTCCACCCACTCTAATCTCTTCTTGCAGAGTACAGTGCCAATCATGTAAATAACATGTGTTCTATGTTAACTTTTTTCATGATAATCTGTTAACGTGAAGTGTTTTCATAAATGTGCACACATAAATATTGCCTGTGTGCATTCAAGCACTCACCCCCGCCCCTCATCCCTGGAAAAAAGAAACAACAAAAAATTTTAGTGGTTTTTGGATAGTAACCTACTACAAACTAATACATACCTCATATGCAGCATTTACAGGCAGGGTGAAACTATATAGCTTACACTTTTAGTTAGGCTGCTTGTCTGTCTGACGTCCCAATTTTCTCCATGGCAACACTCTGTAGACATGCACTATTGTCTGTGTGTGTTGTCATGTAAGGTATGGCAAACACTGAAGATGACTAAATAAAATGCAAAGCTTCTGATATAACTAATATGTAAAAATAATGGGCTGACTTGTATTATTCAAAATATTAGAAACAACTATTTTGTTTTGTAAAAACTGTATCATCTGCCCATGCTATTTCCTTTGTCATCTTTTTTCATGCTGTTACCTATTTATGGAATGAGATTGCTTTTTCTGTGCTCTCCTCCTTCAAAATCCTCTCCCTTTGCTTTGCTTCGCTTCTCACCATGTGCTTCCAATTCTGTGCACTGCACTCCTTCCCTCTTTTCGTACATCAGTCTCTATTTCAAACCTTTAGGTACAACTCACATTTTAATTTGTTTTAATATTAAATCCTTTGTATTGTCTATGCTCATCACATTCCAGATTTGTCTAATTTAAAGTCTGCTCATCCTGTAAATCCTACATTCAGATGAATTCCTTTGACTTAATTGTTGTTTAAGCATTTTAATCTTTTAGCTAGCGTTTATAAACTTGCTCTTACTTGTAAAATGTTTAAAGAAATAAAAATAACTTCAACTCCCCCTATCCCCTACTAAACTAATTTATTTAGATTTAGACTCTACTGCACAAAAGAGTGTCCATCCCAGGTAGAGGGTGCCCTAGACCAGGGGTCTCAAAGTCCCGGCCTGCGGGCCACCTGCGACCCGAGAACCTCCCCATTGCGGCCCGCGGAGGAGAGATGCATGCAGCCATGCCGCCAGCAATGTCTGCTGCAGGTGCCGCCCCCTGCAGCTCCCATTGGCTGGGGGAGAGGGACAGAGATACCATCACTAGTCACCGGGCAGAGTCAGCCATGGAGGCAGCATCATTAGTTGCCAGACACAGGCAGCCATGGAGGCAGCGTCACTTTTTTCCACAATGAATATAAACAAGTCAAAATGCCGAACTCAACTATCTGATGCACACCTTGCTGCAATCCTGAAGGTTTCAACTGCTTAGCCACTGAGGCCAAACATCAACAAACTGACAGAACTGAAGCATTGTCAGGTGTCTGGCAAACACTAAAAACTCTCTGGCAGGCGAAGAATTGTATAAAGTTGTATGATAGTTTTATTATTTCTAAGAAATTCAAAATAAAAAATACAATATAAACTTTCTTTTCTGAACACCATCTTCAGTGACATTATTGGCCCACTAGTAGGATTTGAGGACTGTCACTGGCTCTAAGGTAAATTGATTTTGAGACCCGTGCCCTAGACATTTTGGGCAGATCCTCAGCTGGTGTTAATTCTCATTCGCACCACTGAAGTCAGTGTCACTATAAGTTTATACCAGCTGAGGATCTGCTCCTTTATTTTGTATATTTTAATCACTCTTTCTCTCATATAACTTTTGCAGAGTCTCCATCAAGTCTGTAATACAAGAGTAATACTGTTTTTTAAAAGAGTTAATAAAGCTTTCACATTGCCATGTTAATCTGCCATTACACCTCTACCCCGATATAACACGAATTCAGATATAATGCGGTAAAGCAGCGCTCTGGGGGAGCGGGACTGCGCACTTGGCGGATCAAAGCAAGTTTGATATAACGTGGTTTCACCTATAATGTGGTAAGATTTTTTTTTGGCTCCTGAGGACAGCGTTATATTGGGGTAGAGGTGTATTGTATTAAATTAAATTAATGGAGATATCCTATCTCCTAGAACTGGAAGGGACCTTGAAAGGTCATTGAGTCCAGCCCCCTGCCTTCACTAGCAGGACCAAGTACTGATTTTGCCCCGATCTCTAAGTGGCCCCCTCAAGGATTGAACTCACAACCCTGGGTTTAGCAGGCCAATGGTCAAACCACTGAGCTATGCCTCCCCCCATTATACAGGTCTGTCGCATCTTACACACATTTAACATGCGCTATTTCAGCTTTACGCGGTCGGCAAAAAAAAAAGAGAAAAATAACCATTTTAGTATTGTACCTGTAGCGCAGGCGATTCCGCCCGCCATTGAACTCAATGTAATTTTGACTATACGCGGTTTTTGCTTTACGCGCTAACCGCGGAACGGGACCCCCGCGCAAGATGAGACAGACCTGTAATGTTTTTTTCAGTGCCCAAGTAAAAAATAATTAGAACACTTCTGTATATTTTACCCTGGCTTGCTGGAAACAAAATTAGGACAAATGTGGGTCATTGCTGGAGATTGAACTGAACTCTCCAGTGGTAAAATCATGAATGTCTACTACTTGAGCAGCTCCTTCAGGTAGTAGCTCTAGGAGACTTGTATCTTCTGTAAACCAGCCACTAGAGTGGGATATTTAACACGTACTGAATAACGGGTTACATATGCATCCTTCAGAATTGATGAGGTTTCAGTATATAACCCATAATTCAAAGAGAATGAGAAAAAGAAAAACTCTTTGGGAACAGATCAAGAAAATCTTAGTGTGAAAGCCATTGGCTGGCTTTGTGAAGATATCAAAACATTTATATCTACTTGTCACAATAAAATGTTTATATTGTAGGGTCCAATAAATATCAAGGGGTCTTTTTACTCTGCCTTCACCTCCCTTCCACCATTACTTTAAACAACGCAATAGCGAAATGTTAGAAATAATTCAGATTTTAGTAAACTAACTGTTGCCCTGGAGCTCTCACATAAAGAAAATCAGAAGTTGTGACGTTGGTAGGTTTTAGAAGTGGAATTGTGCTTCAACATATTTTCACCCAGTTTTTCCAATGACTTTTCTCTTGGGAAATGATTGACTAATGTGTGCACTTTCTGTCTTTTAGGTTGAAGAATGAAAAAGCCTTGCGTCTCAGTATTGTAGGTGAGTATCATAAGCTACTTGGTTGAAATCAAAATTAAGGTTTGTCCTATAATTTAGGTCTTACGGACTTTCTGGGAAAAGGAATTCTATCCAATTATTGTCTGTTTGGGGCAAGGACTGTCTTTATAAACTGTATAATTGTTGGAATATCATGGATGTTCTCTCTTCAACCTGGCAACTGCAAGTTTAATCAGAGCTAAGAGGTGTATGGTATCTTTTGACTTCACTTCTTTGCAACATATGTGGACTTCATCACATGGCTGACTGTAGCAGTAGGCAACTTGGCATACTACAGAACAAACCTCTGTTTCATTAATACCACCAAGCCTTGTCAATCCATATTATTAGATGTAGCCTACTCCAAAATTTATACTTGCGTCATCTCATGTAGATGTTTGTGAATGGACAGAGATGTCAGGCAGCAATTTGGAAGGCTGGTAAATTTGATCCAGTGTTTTAAAGAGTTTGATGTTTTACTTTTGTTAATTTACTTTACTCTTAAATTATCCAGATATGTTGATCAGGGAATGAAAAGGCCTCAGGCCAGTTTCTCATACTGCAACTCTAAGTTGCTAATTTTGACAATTTCTCCATTACATATTTGATTGTCTTTATATTGATCCAATATGGTGATTCCGCCTCTCTCTCTTCCCTCTCCTCCCTCCCCCCCCCCCCCAATCATGTTGCAATAAAACATGATCTGAAAGTGATTTTTGGTACTTTTAAACATTTCTCAAGCAGTTCTTACAGAATGTTTTTTTAACAATTTTAGGATGTTCATCTAATTCCTCTGCACTTTACTATCTGAAAAAAATATACTGTGTGTATTGATTGCTGAAGAATTGGGTTGTGTTTTTAAAAAAATAAATATAACATTTTCTTCCTGATTTCCAGTACTTTGACTATTTATTTATTTATTTAGTAAAGGAGGATGGAAAACATCTGTAAATAACTTCTATCTTCTCTCCCAAATTAAAAATGACAACTGGATGAAACCTATTCTTTGTATTAATTTCATATCTAGACTGAGACCTTGTACTTGTACCATAGTGAGGCAAATTTTTATGACTGAATTTTAAACCCCTGAAAAATGGGATTTATTACAGGAACATTGACAGGGTTTGTTCTGTGCTAGTGTTACTATAATTAACACACACTTTGTTCCTGTAGGAGAAAAATTGCAATGGTTTCAAAGTCACCTTGATCCCAGCAAAGCAGACTACACAAAGAAAGAAGCCTGTGAACTAATTGAAAAGTAAGAATGGGGTATACAATAATATAAAAGGCTCTTTTTTGTTGGAAATAAAATTGACTTACTGACTGGTAAAATTAGGATGAATTTTAAATATACTAAATATCTCCCTTTCATATTTATTATTAGAAATCTCATTGATTTAGTAATAGTGAAGATATTATGCACTAGCATAAGTAGATCATAACTATTCTGGAACTACTGGATGAGATCAGAGTATAACCAGAGAGACTTTTATATTATATCTCTGCATATGTAGTGAAGGCAAACGCAAATTAAAATGGATACACCTATATATTTTCCAGTAACCACATGATCCACAATCTAAATGTTTATGTCCCCAGTGCATGAAGTGTTAGTCGCATTTCTTGGTGAAAGTGCAATCTACAGGTTCTACTTCACTTAGCCCCGCTTCTTAGCTTTGCCACATTCTGTTTTAGGAAGGCCAGCTGAGCAGCGCCAGAGCTGTTTCAAAAGTGGGGACCTGTATGGGCATTATATCCTTACTATACATAAGATTACATGTACCAAAGGCTGCCCCCGTTGCCAATTTGTCAGCTACGTCTCTTGATAGGTTATGCCTATCTCATGATGGTAAATTCTTTTTACCGTCAGTATTTATGGCATATTTTGTATGCAGTTCAATGAAACCTGCATTATTGAGGAGAATCTCCAGTGCTGCTCTGGGGCAGATCCACCACTGGTGTATGTTATAGGATCTACTGCCATCTTATGTTTTAAAGTCTTCGCAGTATAAATGATGGCATGAGACTTTAAAATATCCTCAATATATCCGGAGTACTTTAGTTTTTCTTTTAGTGAAAGACCACTTATAGCAGGCAACATATGACTTTTGTTTTCTGGGTTGCAGAGCATTTACTTAAGGCAGGTTACACTAAGTAAAAAGACATTCACATTCAAAACACTACATTAAAACAACATTATTATGGTCGTGAAGTCAAGCACTCAAAAATAAGGAAATGCTAGAATTACAATTGCTTGTGCAACCTTAATTTGGCTCCCTTGTGTATATAACCATTATGATAGTCCTTAAGTACAGCCGTGGCTGGAGTACTGACAGAGTCTTTGGACAATTTAGCTTCCAAACTCTTAACAAGTCTTTACTGAACATCTATAAACAGTGATTTTTTTCCCCCCCATAGGCTCATATCTTAGACAGATTTGGCTGTTTGTTCCACAGAAATGCAAAAATAGGGCAACACCCCTACCCCCCCCTAAATTTCAAGCACTAGAGCTTCTCAGAGAAATGACAGTACAAATGTTTAACATAGGCAAAATAACACTTTTCTCTAATCTCATTCTCTGAAATGGCTAAACCATTTTAGCTGAAACATTCAAAAAAATTCTGCCTGAGGGAGACACCTGGCCTGATAAATTTCTGCTCAAGTGATTAAAGTTTGGCAAAGTTATAAGCAACTGAAAACAGGGTCTTATAATGGGAAGTGTCAGGCAATCAAGGAAGAAGGCTATACTTCTTCTGACCTGATTTAGAGGGGACGTGAAGGCAGCTATAAAAAATAAAATATAACAAATGGCAGAAAGGGAAAGTTGATAGTAATTAATATAAACCAGAAGTTAGGAATTATAGAAAATTGATAAGGGAAGCAAAGGGACACGAGAAATCTGCTAAGCAGTTTTTTAAATATATTAGGAACAAAAACATTCTGACAATGGTATTGGTCCATTACTAGATGGAAATGGTAGAATTATGAAGAATAATGCAGAAAAGGCAGTGTTCAATAAATATTTCTGTTCTGTAGTTGGGGGGAAAAACAGATGATATACTCTGATCAAATGCTGGTGATAATGTCTCTGGAAGATGTTAAACAAGCTCGTAAAGTCAGACATTTTTAAATCAGCATGTCCAAATAACTTGCTTCCAAGAGTTTTAAAAGAGGTGGCTGAGAAGATTGCTGGACCATTAATGTTGCTTTTCAATAAGTCCTAGAGCAATGAGGAAGTTCCAGAAGACTGGAAGACAACTAAGGTTGTGCCAATTTTTAGAAAGGGTAAACAGCATGACCCGGCTAATTATTGGCCTGTCAGCCTGATGTCGATCCTTGGCAAGGCAACGGAGCAGCTGATACAGGACTCGACTAATAAAGAATTAAAGAAGAGTAATGTAATTAATGGAAATCAACATGGTTTATGGAAAATAGATCTTTCAAACTAACTTGATTTTTTTTTTATGAGGATACAAGTTTGGTTGATGAAAGTAATAGAGTTGACATAACATACTTAGACTTCTCTAAGTCGTTTGATCTGGTACCACGTGCCATTTTGATTAAAAAACTAGAACAATATAAAATGAACATGGCACCAATTAAATAGATTTAAAACTGGCTAACTGATGGGTTTCAAAATGTAACTGTAAATGGGCAATCATCATCAAGCCAGTGTGTTTCTAGTGGGGTCCTGCAGGGATCAGTTCTTGGGCCTATGCTATTTAATCAGTGACCTGGAAGAAAACATAAAATAACTGATAAAATTTGCGGATGACCCAAAAATTGGGGAAGTGATAATGAAGAGGACAGGCATTGACTCAGAATGATTTCGATTGCATGGTGATCTGGGCACAAGCAAACACTGTGTTTTAGTATGGCTAAATGTATACATCTAGGAACAAAGAATGTAGGCCACACTTAATGAATGGAGATTCTATCCACTACAGCCCACAAATCTTTTTCAAAGTCACTGCTTCCCAGGATAATCAGCTGAACATGAGTGTGGAATGATCTGGAAAAAGGGGTAAACAGTGAGGTGACAAAATTTGCAGATGATACAAAATTACTAAAGATAGTTAAGACCCAGGCAGACTGAGAAGACCTACAAAAGGATCTCTCAAAACTGGGTGACTGGGCAACAAAATGGCAGATGAAATTTAATGTAGAGAAATGCAAAATAATGCACATTGGAAAGCATAATCCCAACTATATATATAAAATGATGGGATCTAAATTAGCTGTTAGCACTCAAGAAAGAGATCTTGGAGTCATTGTGGATAGTTCTCTGAAAATATCCACTCAATGTGCAGTGGCAGTCAAAAAAAGCGAACAGAATGCTGGGAATAATTAAGAAAGGGATAGATAATAGGACAAAAAGTACGTTGCCTCTATATAAATCTATGTTACGCCCACATCTTGAATACTGTGTGTAGATGTGGTTGCCCCATCTAAAAATATATATATATATAGGAATTGGAAAAGATTCAGAAAAGGGCAACAAAAAATATTAGGGGTAGGGAATGGCTTCTGTATGAGGAGAGATTAATAAGACTGGGACTTTTCAGCTTGGAAAAAAGACAACTAAGGGGAGATATGATTGAGGTCTATAAAATCATGACTGGTGTAGAGAAAGTAGATAAGGAAGTGGTGTTTACTATTTCTCATAACACAAGAACTAGGGGTCACCAAATGAAATTAATAGGCAGCAGGTTTAAAACAAATAAAAGGAAGTATTTCTTCACACAACGTACAGTCAACCTGTGGAACTCCTTGCCAAAGAAAGTTGTGAAGGCCAAGACCATAACAGGGTTCAAAAAAGAACTAGATAAATTCATGGAGGATAGGTCCATCAATGGCTATTAGCCAGGATGGGCAGGAATGGTGTCCCTAGCCTCTGTTTGCCAGGGGATGGATCACTTGATGATTATCTGTTCTGTTCATTCCCTCTGGGGCACCTGGCACTGGCCACTGTCGGAATACAGGGATACTAGGCTAGATGGACTTTGGTCTAACCCAGTAGGGCCATTCTTATGTGAGGCGGTAGCTAAAAGTGCTAATGCAATTCTGGGATGCATAAACAGGGGAGTCTCAAGTAGAGGTTATTTTATCACTGTATTTGCCACTGGTGCAATTGCTGCTGCAATACTGTGTCCAGTTCTGGTGTCCACAGTTCAAGAAAGACGTTGATAAATTGGAGAGGGTTCAGCGAAGAGCCACGAGAAAAATGAAAGGATTTAGAAAACATGCTTTATAGTGATGACTCAAAGAGCTCAATCTATGTAGCTTAACGAGAAGTTAAGGGGTGACTTGAATATAAATATCTACATAGGGAACAAATATTTAATAGGTTCTTTAATCAATAAAAAAGTATAGCATGACTGGAAATTGAACATAGGCAAAAATCTGACTGGAAATAAGTCATGAATTTGTAATGGTGAGAGTAATTAACCATTGGAACAATTTACCAAGAATCGTGGTGGATTCTCTATCACTGACAAATTTTAAATTGATTGCATGTTCTTTCAGAAGATATGCTCTAGGAATTATTTTGGGCAAGTTCTATGCCCTGTGTTATGCAGGAAGTCAGACTAAATCACAGAGGTCCTTTTGGCCTTGGAATCTATGAACCTTTGCTATAGGTGGAACAGGTAATGCTGCCTATAACAACAAACAGGTAGGAGCAAAATCTGCGCTCTCATCGTTATCCTGTAGTAATTTGGAAGTTGTCCCAGTACACTGCTAGTCTTCCTTTTCCCAGAGATTCTTGGCTACAATAGGTGACATGCTATACTCTGCTAAATCTGAGGTAAGAGTCTAGAGGTCACAGCCTAAACAGAATTTCTCTTTTGGAAGAATATTGCAAATCTTTAATTTAGTGTGAAAAACTGCACCTGTGGCATATTTAGATGTGGTGCAGATGGCAAAGAAACAACTGGTAAATATTTCCCTGGCAAATGACCAAACCAGTATAGTTTTATTAAAATGTTACGAGACATCTCATAGCTTAAACTTGTTGTCTTTCAGATATTTACATCGATTCAGTGATGAACTGGAACAGATTGAGTTACATAACAGCATTAAAGGCAGACAGGGAAGGCAGCACAGTTCCCGGGAGATAATCATCAAACAGACCATAGAGCATGAAAGACAACTCTATGAAGGATATGGGATAGGTATGGCTGCCTTATTATTTCTTTGTTGTGCAAACTGCAGTAGCTGCAACTTACACCCCCCCCCCCCTCCTGTTCTCAAGGCCTGAATCCTAAGTGAAGGCTTTAGGTGATACGTTGGTTTTTTTGTTTTAGAGAAATAAATCTTCCTTTACTTCTCTTGATTTCCAGGTTCTTTTAAGGTGGATGTAAAAACAAACAGAAAGATCCTAGTTAGAAATTCATTTTACTTCCTTGAATGCAGTGATCACCTTTGAGCAATGACTCTGCTTTATGCTTTATGACTGTTTTATGTTGCTTTAAGGCATATGTGTATGTAGATTTTGATTACTAAAGTTGAGAGGATTCCTGTGAAGTCTGACTTCTGTTTTTAAAGCATATTAATATAGCCACCCCAAAAGAGCATGAATCACATCCCCTTTAAAAATGTTTCTTTTTTAAACCGAGGGATAGCTCAGTGGTTTGATCATTGGTCTGCTAAACCCAGGGTTGTGAGTTCAATCCTTGAGGGGGCCACTTGGGGGGATCTGGGGCAAAATCAGTACTTGGTCCTGCTAGTGAAGGCAGGGGGCTGGACTCGATGACCTTTCAAGGTCCCTTCCAGTTCTAGGAGATGGGATATCTCCATTAATTATTATTATTAAAAAAGGTGGGGTTGTTTTTTTTTAGCCTGAACAAAAAGGTTTCCCCCTCTTTAAAAGGGTGCATAATTATGTGTTTGGAAACATACATATGAGGTTGTTTGTTGGTATAAAGTTTTATTAGCTCTCGTTTGAAATGACAGCATTACTTGCTCATGGCTTCATTACTCATGACTGGTAACCATCCCAAACTCATGACATGAAACCTTTGTACCATGAAACATCATAGCATTGTCTCAGTAATAGAAACCTAACATCACTGAGGTCTCCATGTATTCTTCTCTCCCCCAGGAATGGGCCAGTGGGAAAAGTTCTACAAGATTCACGTTGCATAGCTTATGGTGTGTTGTCCACTTAAGAGGGTGGACTTAGGAGCCTACTAAACTTAGAGGGCCCAAGGCTTCCCGCTCCATGAATCACAGGGATCTTTAAAGGAAAAAAAGAACCCTTGATCCAAGGAGGTAGGAATAGTCCTGTATCAATTGGACCTGCCTCCACCAGGATTTACACTTTCTCCTTATTTGCGGTGGAGCACGGCTCCGGCAGTAGATGCAGTGGAGCCCAAGGGCATTAATATAGCTCCAGACTTAATTAAATTTCTTGGGGTTTCCTGGATTTCTTCATTAAAATGTAGGGGCTCATCAAGGAATGGTGCTTCATTTTGACAGGTCTCTTGCTCCACCCTAACCCCACCTAAAACTTTGTGTAGCCCCAACAGACACTCTGATCAGACTGAGGAGATACGTATTCAGAAGGACCTCTTCAAATGTGTAGCTGATGATGAATCTTTGGCTCCATGGATGTTTGGAGTAGGGTTGAATGTGTACGTTTATAAAAATGCCCTAACATTTAACCTTTAACAACCAAAGGCTCCTGAAACAAAACCCTGAAACATTTAGAATACAATAATGCTGTAATTTATAACAAAAGTAATAATAGCCCAATAGACTGTTAGCTCAGAAAAATATTCTTAACTTCTAATTTGACATTTCAGTGTTTTCACTGTCTGCTATCACAAATAAATATAAAGTCAGACTGCCAGACATGATAATTGGTCTTTATTTTTAAATTGCCCTTGGGGAAAAAAATAGCAGTTGCCCCTTTGTCACCACAGTGTCTCACGAGGTCTTAAAAATAGCTGAGAGGAGAGCCGTGTGTGTCTTGAGAACCTCAGCATGAGTATTACCAATGAAAGGTATTGGTCAGGGATGCTGCATGGGATTAACATTAAAGAATGAAAATTTTTGAGCCTAAGTGAACTGATAGCATCCCTTTAAAAATATATATTCTCTTTAAAGGTGGTATGCAAATGCCAGCTATGCTTGAGAGAGAGTCTGAAATGACTGAAAATCATGTACATGGAACTAGGCTGATGGGCAAGAGCAGGAATCAAGTGTAACAAGGCTAATTGGGATGGGGAAAGGAATTGTGGAGACTGAGATCCAGGCTGTGTTGAGGAGGGTGTGGTAGAAAGTAATACCAAATTTAATGATCTGACATTACTTTTTAAAAATAGACCCTTTTTGGAGCCAAACCCTTTTTGGAGCCAAATAACCAATTTAACTTTAATGTCTAGAAGGAATAGTGTTCATATCACTATGAAAATATCACTGGCTCTGAAAGTTCATTAACAAAATGGAAAAATCAACATTTGTTTCCTGCTTGGAAGGTAAAATCTTGGCCAATTAGCTTCTTTGAAATAAGCATTTCCTGTGTTCATGGGGAGGGGGGACAATGGAGGGTAATGTAAGGTTTTCAAAATATTTGCCAGCCATATTTAATCCTCCAGAGCTGCTCATATCCTGTTCTGAATGAGATAGCAAACAATTCAGGGGTTCATGGCATTAAGCTATGTGACTTAGTGCAGAATGGGAATCCAGTGTTCTTTCTCCTAGCTTCCTCTTTTGCATTTCTTCTAGGGCAGAAATAGGGAAGCAATCTATATGACTTAAAAAAAAAAAATCTATTCTTGTTTTAAAATTGTTGTTCACCAATACAAAGTCCTCCTTCCAATTTCTGTGGTTTTAAAAATTACGTTTCCTTATTTTTAAAAATGTTTTTCTCTCCTGTTGCTGTGTGAAAGTTCCAAGCAAACAAACAAACAAAAAATCCATGAAATAGGCTAGCGAACAACTCTATCAAATGCACAAAATAAACAAACTGGAAAAAATAAAGAAACAAGATGTTTTCATTTATAGAAATCTCATATTTTACTTATTGTTGTTGTATGTTTAAAAATCGCAAAAATGTGACATTTTTAATTTGATGGTGCCCCTTTACATGTTAAATGCAACCTCAAATCATTCATCATTTGTTATTGCAGCTGTTGAAGGTTCAGTCTGTCTAGAACTCAGTCTTCATTCAGAGAAAATTGTTGCTGCTAAATACTATAATTGGAAATGGGAGGAAAAAAATGGGAAGTCAGCTGGAGATTGTGCTTTAATGGCTCTATCTCATCATTATCACTAGAGGCTTCTCTAATAAAAGGGAATATCTTCAAACTGACTTTATATTTGAGTCTCTCTCTTATTGATGTCAGAATTTTCCCTTCTGTGTTGTATGTTTTGCCTTGAAGCAGCCTTAAAATATAAAAGTGAAGTTCTAAAAGTCATCCAAGATTTGACATTTTTGTATAAATGGTCATGTTCAAGTGAATAGACATTCAGGATTATACATTTCTTCACTAGTTGATCATTAACAGGCTGAATTTCATACAGAAGTTCTTAAACAGCTACACCGGCAGCTGAGTATTCAGATAAATTAGTAAATGCTGTACAGATCCTTCTAGGAACAGTAACAATAAGGGAAGCTTCAGTCTGATAATCAGTGAGGTTGTTAAGGAAGTTGTTTCTTTACTAGTGTCTCATTGGTTCCTGCCTTTCCCTCTATGCTTAATTGTACGACTAAACAGGTTCCTACAGGTTTGACTTTTCTGGCATATTGTCATTTTCATCATTGTGTATTTCTGAAAGGTACTTATTTTTCAGGTGTTCATAGATAATGTCCAAAGCTTGTTGAAAGGGCATCCCAGATGTTGACAGAAACTTCCTGATGAATTGAGAGTGCATGTTTACAGCTAAAAATGGCAAGCAGTAGTTATTTCATCTGAACTTCATGTGGTTTAGTTAACTGACTAACTTTTAATTATGCATTCTGTCAGAACATGGAAGCCAAGTGTCCTAGAAAAAGGAATTGTCCAATGAGCTTTCAAAGTTAAATATATACAGATATGAAGAGTTAATTTTTTTAATATTTGGGATGGAAGGAAGGTCAGATGGAAGACACGAGAGCAGATTATAATAATATTTAGGTTTATCTCCCAGCATAGCTAGTGCCTGTACTGTTTATTCAATACATTAATGATCTGGAGGATGGCATGGACTGCACCCTCAGCAAGTTTGCAGATGACACTAAACTAGGAGGAGTGGTGGATAGGATACAGAGGGACCTAGACAAATTAGAGGATTGGGCCAAAAGAAATCTGACGAGGTTCAACAAGTGCAGAGTCCTCACTTAGGATGGAAGAATCCCATGCACTGCTACAGACTAGGGACCGAGTGGCTAGGCAGCAGTTCTGCAGAAAAGGACGTAGGGATTACAGTGGACGAGAAGCTGGATATGAGTCAACAGTGTGCCCTTCTTTCCAAGAAGGCTAATGACGTTTTGGGCTATATAAGTAGAAGCATTGCCAGGAGATCGAGGGACGTGATCATTCCCCTCAATTCGGCATTGGTTAGGCCACATCTGGAGTACTGTGTCCAGTTTTGGGCCCCACACTACAAGAAGGATGTAGAAAAATTGGAAAGAGTCCAGTGGAGGGCAACAAAAATTATTAGGGGGCTAGAGCACATGACTTATGAGGAGAGGCTGAGGTACCTGGGATTATTTAGTCTGCAGAAGAGAAGAATGAGGGGGGATTTGATAGCTACTTTCAACTACCTGAAAGGGGGTTCCAAAGAGGATGGATCTAGACTGTTCTCGGTGGTACCAGATGACAGAACAAGGAGTAATGGTCTTAAGTTGCAGTGGGGGAGGTTTAGGTTGGATATTAGGAAAAACTTTTTCACTAGGAGGGTGGTGAAGCACTGGAATGGGTTACCTAGGGAGATGGTGGAATCTCCTTTCTTAGAGGTTTTTAAGGTCAGGCTTGACAAAGCCCTGGCTGGGATGATTTAGTTGGGGATTGGTCCTGCTTTGAGCAGGGGGTTGGACTAGGTCACCTCCTGAAGTCCCCTCTATGATTTCTGCTGCTACTTTTGATAGAATCCCTTGTACAGCTGAATTGGTCCATGTCTAAAGAGATCACTCCTAACTCTTTTAATGACCCGTCGTTTCTCAACTTTACTTTGTGGCTCCTTGATT